TACTTGTGGGAAAAAAAATCAAAGTGTAACAAACACGTTTTTGAATAAATTAGAATTTAAATTTCGGAAGAACGCTTTTCAAAAATAGTTACGCTTACAAAAAAAAACCTCTTCCGTTGGAAGAGGCGACTGTTTTCTTCATTTAATTTGGCTCTAGAGAGAGAGGCGAGAGGTCATTAAAATTTAAAAAACCGTAAAACTCCGCACTGAACGAACCCGAACAGCTGATGAACAGCAGTCGATCTGCGCACGCAAGGGGGTGCTATTCCTATTCTTCTTCTGGAGAAACGAAAGAGAGCTTCAAAACAAAGACTGCAGCGCCATCTGAAGCAATGAGTGGACTTCCGCCGACATTTTTTTTGGCTGAGTGAACCATCTTGTTATGTACGATCTTTTATGATACCGGTACTCAAGTATTTTCCCCATGAAAGCAGACGGAGATACTCGAGCATTTTTCCCCTTTTGAGAATCGAACTCCGTCTCTGAGTGCAAGGAGGAACATTTCGCCATTGTGATTGTATTGTTTAATCACCCTCTTAACAATGTAAGGTTATTTAAGAGGCGGGACCTCCTAATTTAATGTTTAAATCCGATATCATCGATCCAGATTTGGCTGCAGCATTAAAAACTTTCCAAGACAATCCAAGTTCAGAACGCCTCCTTGAAGACTCGAACCAGGACTATCAGCTCCGTAGTCCAACATGATACAAATAGAGCAAATGTTGCGCTCTTCATTTAGTTACAGACACAATTACGTCGAGTCCTCAATCATGAACATCTGCTTTTGGAAAGTGTGGCACTCGATTGATCCACCAAGCCATCACCACGCTGGGCAGATATCATGACAGAAGCAAATCGCTACTTAAAAATTACAAAGATATATCTGACAATTTAGCCATTTTTTAAAAGTTACAATACCTTGAGGTCATAAATTTTCTATCTGCTCAATCAAAATCATAATATTATTCGAAGTCGTTATCAATATATTTAAAGAATTGCATTAGGAAAAGCTTGACATTATGAAACTCAAAATTGTGACGTCAAATTTCACAAAACTGGGTACTGAGCGAGCAGATCTAACATTGCAACTCTAGGGTAGTGAAATGGTATGATATATAGTAAAAAGCCTACTAACATACTAAAAACATCTTCGAACTCCAGCCTCCCACATAAGCCCACCGAGAAATTAATTAGACTACCGTTACCCAACAGTACACAAGAGCATGTGGTGTCACAGTTAGGCTCTTAGGCTTTGCTTACAGGAGACATGAGATCGATTACCTAGAGGAGCAGGTTTTAAAAAAAAATTAAAAAATGAGTATCTCCGTCTACCTCCTGAGATGTTGTGCAGCATCCCTCTCGACTCTCGACCGACCCGTGTTGGCCCTGGCAGGCATGATCGAAGCAGCATCCTCCCCCCCCCCCACCCCTTAATTATAAAACAGACGGGGGCGTAAAATATTTACAATTTAACAACAACAAAAAATTTCATACTGCAATTCGAGGGGTCAATGAAACGAGTTTTAAATATACAGGCTTAGCTCCCCTCGCCTGTTGTATTGCCGTTCGTGGTGGGAAGTGGAAGTAGACTCCAATGAAAGTGCTAACAACATACCACCAAGTATGTGAAACGATTCGATGAGCTTAATAAACTTACTTTATTCGTAATTACAATTAGAATAAAATTACTCTCACCACCCTAGAAAGCGTACTAGAGCTATGTCAAAGCGCTGGGGGCGATGAGCAAACTATGGTCGGATGGTCTCCGCCCATTATTGCAAGGAATAAAATGTTAAATAATGCAACGCGGTACGATCGCCTGGAGCATTGTTCTGGCGATGTCAAGGAGAAGAAATCGCTCACCACACATACATGGAGGCTAACAGAACACACGTGTTGTTCGTGCGGTGAGTCGTTCATCGATCTCACGTCTGCTCGCTTAACCCTCGCCTCTCTCACTTGCCACCGTGGATTTCCCGGCCAAAGATTGGGTTAGACTGCATCGCGATTTTGGTCTCTGTTTTGGCGGTTAAAAAATAATGAAAAGGGGAAAATATTAGGGGGAGGAGAGAGGTCCGTGGGGAGGCTGTGGGGGAGGGGTTATCCATTGATCGTCAGGTAACCCAAAGGAGTAAGTTAATTAAATATTATCAAAAACGTTTTCACAATATTTACAGAGGGTGTTTGTCATCTATCTATCTATCTATCTATCTATCTATCTATCTATCTATCTATCTATCAATCTATCTATCTATCTATCTATTTGTCTACCTATCTATCGATCTATCTATCTATCTATCTGACTAACTCTATCTATTTATCGATCTATCGATCTATCGATCTATCGATCGATCGATCTATCTATCTATCTATCTATCTATCTATCTATCTATCTATCGATCT